CCCCAAAACCCCAAAACCCCAAAACCCCAAAACCCCAGCTGCACCAAAGCGCATTGATAATACAAAATTATTTATTAAAAATGTCTACTGAGGAGCTGCAGCCCCCTACAGGTATATTCGAGGGGTACATGAAGAAGAGGAAGAATATAGGAGCCCTTACGCTCATTAGTGATAGCAACAAACGTTATTTCGTACTAGATCTACCGACATATAACCTCTTGTACTATAAGAACAGGAAGAAGGGTAAAAAGAATATTATTCCTTTGCAAAGAATTTTGGCAGTCAGTAAGCTTCAAGATGGCACAAATGATGTTATCTCAGGAAAAGAGTGGTCTTATTCATTTATAGTCATTACGTCTGAGCGCCAGTATAACTTCAGAGCTTACTCATTTAAGGATAGAGAGGTCTGGGTCAGCGGCTTCCAGAAAATCCTTGACTATAAATAAAGCAATTCTTAGAAAAAGGGGGATCTATATTGACGATCTTAAGGTCGATGAGCACACCCGACCTGACCATGAGGTCTACCATCTCCATGATGCAGATTTTAATCACGAAGGCAGGATAAAGCCACTATGAGAAATTCCCTTCGAAAAGTTACAGGATCCCAGGTATATCGAAGAAGCTGAAGGAGAAGATGAAGAAGAAGGAGAAAATTACGAAGAAAACAAAAAGCACTATGATCCTTACCAAGAAGAGATTAAGCATAATTTTGAAGATCGTGATGACAGATTTCAAAGGAATTTGAGAAATCCAGGGAGCCAAAGAGACTCAAGAGAGCTAAGAGAGCCAAGAAATCGGGAAAGAGATGAAGGAAATAAAAGAGAAACGAATGATGAACCGAAAAGAAGGAATATTCAAGAATTCCAACAAGACTGACGAAGCAGAGACAGCACAGGCGAACGAGAAGATTCATGTAAGAAGGACAGAGGTTTTAAAGAAAGATATCTTAAAGGACAGCTCGATAAAAGAGAAGGATATAATTCACCAGACGAACAAAGACCAAGGAACGATCGCAGATTAGGATCTTCCCCTCGAGTTAGAAAACAAATTGGCGAAGTTGGTACAAACTAATTAATATTTTCATTATTTTTCAAAATTCCTTGGCTTGAGTCCTTCCTGTGTGTCCCTCTACCAATCCTATTCCCAAAAATTTTATTCTAAATCTGCGCTCAAGTCCTAATAATTATCAATTTCATATTGCCAAAGCTCTAAGAAAAACCTTGAATAAATTTTCAGAAATTCCCTGAGGAAATCTAGAATTTTGTTAACAAAATTTGGATTTTAGGCGAAACCAAACAGGAATTTGGCATTCATGAAGAAAATTTCTAGGGTTTTAGGATGCAATAAGCAAAATTCTGAAAGTAAGCCAACTTTTTGATGAAGTTTAGAGTCACCAGGTTTCATAGAAAATAAGAGGAAAAGGAATATTAGACATCATATGAGAGATGATTTAAGAGAGACAGCAAATTTTGGAATGGATAGCGAGGATGGAAAGTACCAGCAAAAGCGGGAGAAGAGCAATACTCCTCCTGAAAATCAAAAGCGGCCTATTAAAAGAGTTTCTGATGATCGGAGAGCCGCTCAGATTCAAAACTTAGCATCGATCAGCAACTACTACACTCAGAATAACGATAAATTTGATATGGTAATTGACCATGATGATGATGCCTTTAATAATATCTCTGGAGATGAAGGTCCGACAACTCAAAAATAGAAAGCCTGAACCGATACCAAAAGAATTTCAGAAATTGAACACTGAAGCAAAGGTGAAACCAGGGAAACGACTAAGCGGCATTAAGGCTGCAGCAAAGGTTATCAGAGAGAAGTCAGAGTCTCCGGTAAGAAAGTTGACTGTAAATTCCAACAAACAATTGCTCAGTGAGTGGGAAAAGAAATATGGGAGTAAGAAAGATAGACAATTCCATAAAGATAAGGAAAAGTCTCTAAACCAATGGCATGGTGAACCTCACCAAAATGCCCAGGGATATCAAGAAACCGAACCTGATAACTCACAGTCTCCTATGAGAGGAGTGAAAGTTACAGGTGACGTCGCCGGAGAATTTGAGTACAATTGGGATAATGAAGGTACTTCTGAGATGCCAAGGAAGAAGAAATCAAGAGCTCAGAAAAAGTCCCAAAGAGCCTCTAGAGTTCCTTTGGGAGCAATGCAATATGCAGACGATCATTATAACAATTAAGCTCTAAGGTTGCTGAATAGCACTGGCGAGCATGCAATGAGTGGCTTAATCGTAAATTTATCTATAATTCATTACTATTAAGCTATTTTATTATTTTTAGGAAAGAAGAATCTCTGTCCGATCGGGAAAAGCTTCGCCCAAATTTTAGAGTTAGTATTAATCCTTCTTAAGTTTCAATTGAAATATATTTTATTGGGGTTTTGGGGTTTTGGGGTTTTGGGGTTTTGGGG